CTTCGCCGTCGGTGAGGGTGAAGTCACGAGTTGATTTCGATGGTTGGTGGTCTTCGGTGAATCCCGATCAATGGAGAAAGACGTGATCACCGGTAGTCATCCATGACAAAGAAGATAAGAGAAAAATGCAAAAAAAAAGAGAGAGAGGAAAACGTAAAGAGTTAGGCAAAAAGCAAAGAGAGAGAGAAGAAAGTAGGACTTTTGGGTCTACTCAAAAAGTTGCTGGATTAAATAGTGTCCACATGTTTCACATAGGACATATGGGTAATTTCCCCATCAATTTATTTTTAGTCAATTTGGACATTTTTAAATTTTTTTTGGACTTAAAACATACTTAATATATTATATTAAATTATAATAAGAGGAGACTCATTTTTTGAGTCTATTTTGAGGTACCCTAAGTCATGGCTTGGTGGGTGGGCCTATGCCCAAAGCCAGGCTTGAGAGTTGATCATGTGGGTTAGGTGTTCGCTTACCATGTGTAATGAGATTCTACTCTTACGTGACACAACTTCCCTAATTTCCTCTCAACAATTGTTTAAAATAAATAAAAAGAAAAGAAAAGAAACTCATATATGCTTGTCTGTGGTTTAGAAAGGTTACACGAATAGGGCATGACAGAAATACCTAACAGGCCTCTCGAGGAAGTTTGGAAAGTTACAATCAAAGTCAAAAAGGCAAAAATTTTCTTTCCTCTCTACTTTTTGAGAAATTTTATTTCTATACACATAGTTATCTCAGTGCACATCATTTCTCAATGCACATATTTAAATAGTTTGATTATTAATTTTTATTCTTATTTCACACACCAATTATACCAATCGTACCCTTAACTTATATATTGTACACATACCACCTCAACTCTCTTTCTACATACCTATTCAAAGTTGAAGAGCAACGTCTCCCCTATTTCGGTTCATAGTGAAGAGTTCAACAACGAAGAGAAACTCTATTGAACAGAATGAAGACCTGAGATCTTCCATTGAAGAACCTCCATTGAAGATCCTTTTCCTCCATTCGACACTCCAGTTCTGAAATCTGTTGAAGATAACTATTACTTTGTTTTGATTTCGTTATATTTGGTACCATATCATTTTCTCTGTCAAGTGCATTGACAAATTAGAAAAAATCCTCGTTTTTCCCTTGAAAAGTTGTGATTTTGGGTATTTGGCACTGATTTTCCGAAATTTATTTTTTAATTTGATTTTCGAATAATATTTATTTTTTCGACATTGTAGTTATGAAATATAATGATTTTTTTGACACTGATTTCAAAATAAAATTTTCAATTCGACAGTTGAGATTCGAATGTTTTACCATATTTAGGTACTACCAAATATGTTTCACAAATGGTCAATATCTCAACCAATTCAACAATTACCATTCAAGATAGAGAAATCAAGGTCGTTCGCTTTCGAGATAGAGTCAGGGACATCATGGGTAGCAGACATTAAAAAACCATCATCAGCACCGGCGGTGATGTTTGAGAAGCCATTGATGAACATGACTTTCAAGGACTTGATTGATGCCATGTCACACTTCGGAAAAGAGTCACTGATAGCAGAGGGAAGGTGTGGGCCAGTGTACAAGGTAGTGTTGCCGGGTGATTTACACGTGGCGATCAAGGTGGTGGAGCAAGCAAGAGTTGATGATGATGAAGCTGTGAAGATGTTTGAAGAGCTAGCGAGGCGATGATGATGAAGTTAAGGTTTAGTTTTTTTTTACTAGGTGTATATTGAAATTTTTTTATTTTTAAAAGATGTGTACAGAGAATATGTTTATATAACATTATGGATGTTTGTGGATGTCCATTATGATAATTTTAGTTTAAAATATAATTACCATTAAAATAATATTTCATTAAGTGTATGCACTGAGGTAACTACGCGTGTAGAAATAGAATTTCTCCTATTTTTCTTACACTTAATTTTTTTTTTTTGGTGTAAAAAATCAAAAAATCATCTTAAACACTATTTTCACCTCATATGTTAATCAAAAAATCAAAAAATTATTAAAATAACATATTTCCATAGGTGAATTTCGATTTCCACATAGATTGCATCGGAATGGTGGCATTATTTCTCTGACCATTTTCGAAATGTCCAACCCTTTGCTACTTGTGATCTAACATTTTACATCATTTTGTCTAGTAGGACACAAAACAAGAAGGTGAATGTGCCAAGAACTTGAATAATTATGCCAAAAAGACATATATTTGATGGAACGTGTGAGAATAATTATTAAAAAAAAAAAAAGAAAATAAAAAGAGTAACGTTGCCAAAAAAAGAAAAGAAAAGTAAATATGGCTCTAACTAATGAAGCCAAAAGTACACACATAGGTAAACCTCCAAAGAAGAAGGAGGATAACAAAAATGTTAGAGGTCTCAAAAATTCTACTAAAAGTTTTACTAAATGTCTCACATGGGTGTGGTGACATTTGGTAAAACTTTTAGTATAATATTTGGGGTCTGTAGCATTACTCGGAGGATAATGATGATAATTAATAAATAATAGACTCATGATGTTCCCAATAATGAAAAATAAATAAATAAAGACAACACCTCCAGCATAACTATTTGGGTACAAAGCAGTTAATGCATGATGATTGATGAGTATGAACATTCAAATGGGTGAGCATAAGATTTAGCCAAAAAAAACCCAACATGATAAACTCTGACAATTCAAAAAGCTAGTAGTTGAACAATCAAAATAGAGTTCTGGATCTTGAAAAAAATAATATGGACCTTGAAAATGAATAAATTATAATCAAAACATCTACAAAGGTCAGTAATAATATAGCCTCAGAAGAAAATTGTAGTATATTTACATATAAATTATGTTCTGAACATCATGAACTTCCACCTAACAAGAACTCTACCGCATCTCTTACCCAATGCAATTGACCATTTACACTTGTTTTATTTTTTTATTTACAGACTGAACCTTAAAAATGTACATCAAAAAAGAATAATCCTATTATGACTCAACCGTGAAATTACAAATTGCAAGCCGAACATACATAGAGAAAATAGACAAGCAAATCGTATTCCAACAGGAGAATTGAACTTCGTGTTTATTTACAATTATTAGAAGCTCCACGTAGAAAATAATAACAAAGATGTCTTCTTTTCCAAATTGGGATTACCTCAAGAAAAATACGAGGATGCTAACCCACTGCGCCTCTCTGCAAATACAGCGTTACAACTCATGAGAAATTGCTTGGAAATTTAGTAACTTGATGTCACAGAAAAAAAAGTATATCAAGCAATGGTTCTATACCTCCAGTTGTGATGAGCTTTTCAACACGTGAAACGATATGTTTACCATAAGTGTACCTCTTCAGTGCAGTCAAGTGGACCTTGATGCGAGAGAGAATTAATTCACGGCTTTGATCATCACAGGTCTCAAGAACCTTCTGCACAACATAGTTTCCGAAGGGATCTTTCATCATGGCCTGCATTTGCGATTTTAACAGTTTCATCAGTTATTCAACAAGAACTACCAGTACATGACACACAGAATTAATAACAGGAGCTTCAAATCTGCCATTGAGAAAATGAATTACAATCGAACTAAGCTCATAACATAATTATATTTTACATTCTATTGAAAGAAGGATATGAAATCATTCATTCATATGAACCTGAAGCTATATTATAATGTATAGCGCCTCAAAATTAATTGGAAGTACGCTACATAACCCAAGAAGCATGGATACGCGACACATAACCCAACAACACAGATACGACAGAGATATGCCGACAAGACAATTTTCAAAATTTGAAGGGCACAACACGTGAGTTACCTACACAAATTATATAATTCTATATATTTATTATACGTTTATGAATATTTCATTCAAAGATTATAAAAAAATGCAGCATAACACTAACTCTTAAAGTTTAGCAGGTTTAACGAGTATAAATTTACATTATTTTTTAATTATTGTTGTATCCTTTAAGTTATTTTCTTTTATCATTAACTTCCTTTGATCTCTCAAAATTTAGTAACATTTTTTTTCTTTTTTTTGGGTAAGTAGACAAAACCAACATAGGGGAGTATGGTTTTTCACATAATCTACTGTAGAATTTGAATGGCAAGAGATGGTCAAAAACCTGTAAGGGCTCATTTTCATCAGTGGAACCAAGCATTTCATTCACCAAAAGTTGACGCTCTCCCGGACCACCAAAAGTTAAGCACTTCTCAACAACATTAGAGGCAAACTTCTGCTGACTCATCTTTACTATTTGCCCTGCTAGCTTGCTAATAATTACAGATCGTTCTTGTGGTTTACCATGCTGCAGGACATGCTAACCAAGCAAAAACTAAGAACATCAGTAAACAAATAATAGCTATTTACATTGATTTATAAAGCAAGTTTGATAAACATTAGAATAAAAACGAAATGCTGTGTAAATTACAGTACACTTATCACAAAATATTAAAAATCTTCAAGAATGAATGATACCATGGAAATCAAAAGAAGTTTGTCACTTTCTTTCATTATTTCTTTTGGTCTGTGTCAGCATTACCAGTTAAGCCAGTTTTGTGTCATTTTTTATGAAAAGTTAGAGCATCAATGCTCAACTTGATCAAGACCATAGGTCCCAAATACTTGGGGCGAGTGACAGATCATTTTTTGCCACTATGCTTTCTATCTAGAGCCATGCCCACATATAGGTCTTAGGAATCATGTCATTCTTCATTGCTTTAATCTGGAATCTTTCAGGTATCCTCTCCCCCTTTGTAGTACCTTCAACTAAACATAACAAGGGATTATCGGTGCATTCATCCATCTTTGTTGGAAATGTCTGTCTTAACTGTCTCTCTCATCTTATACTCAGGAGGGGCCATTTTAACTTTTTAATTTCATTCATTCATTTATTAGTTTGTACTCTTTTTTTTCTTTTTTCTTTTTTTCCTTATCATCTCTTGGGAAGGAAAAAAATAAAATAAAAAGCAAAATGCAATTCAACAATATCAAAATCTTTTAGCATATAAACAGGTTTGTAGACCACTAGGTCAAATTCGGTCAGATTCTCGATTCCAACAAAAAAATTTGACAATATCTTGAACGCTTTACATTGTGTTTTACCACTTGTAGAAGAGAAGAGCAAGGAAGAGAAATAAACTCTCTTCCTCTTCCTTTCCACAAGTTCAAGTACACCCTTGGAAAATCCTGTTAAAAATGCGAGTATTCTTATGAATTTTGTTAAATAAAATTAAGTGTGTTTGCAATTTTTGTAGACAAAACGGGTGCTAGTTTTCTAGGTTTGGTGCGTTAGGATTAGTCCACTCATGTGATAAAGGTGACTCCCATATAGTTACTAGGTTGATTTATATATATATATATATATATTTGGGTTAGGATAGTAGAGTCTGGAATCTACTGGGAAACTTAATATTATTAGCTAATTGTATAGAACTAGAATTCTCATGGGTAAACTATTATAAATAGCCATGTGAACTCTGAGAGAGTGGTGAGGGAAAAAATAGAGATATAAGGGGAGAGAAAAAATACCATGATGGCACCGGGTGAGCGAGGGCTCAACTACCCTTGAGCATGGAGTTCAGGTCGTAGTGTGGGTTTTGAGTGTTTTGGCCATCTCACATGTGTTCTCTATTGTTTATCATAGTGGAATCTTTGTCTCCTGTGGATGTAGGCAATTTGGGCTGAGCCACGTAAATCTCTATGTGATTATTTTTTCTCTTTGGTGTGTGCATGAGTGTACTTCTGTTGGCGTTGGTGGGAGACTGTATAAATCACAACAAGTGGTATTAGAGCTTATGGTTGTCAATCCTAGGTACGGTTGGCAGAGAGGGTGCGGTTACTACACATGGAGGGCCCACACAGAAGAGAGAAATCCTGGTGGTACAGAAAAGAAGGTTCAAATCTAGTGAAAGCTTTCACAAGAAGAAACATGATAGAAAAATTCACAGTGAAGGTGGATCTCAAGGTTTTCAGGGGTTGTGAATTCATCGGTAGGGTCAGAATTTTCAGATTCTAAACAGGTTTAAAGGGATTGGACAGGTTCAAGGGGCGATCAAAAGTGATTGCATGTGATCTAGGTGATCCAAGAGTAATCTGATTCAATCAAAAGGAAGTCTAGTCATTGCGGGGTCAATCAGACGGTGTTTGTTTGATTGGAGATCATGATTGGCAATTTGTACAAGCTCATGGAGTATGTTGTGACAAGGGAAACTACTGTCAAGCATCAAGCGAGTAGTACGAGTTGTGGGTAAACAATAGTAAGCAACAATTGCAAGGATATTTGGTGGCCACCAAAAGAAAGACAACGGGTTGCTGGATGTTCACAAAAATGAAGTTTTTGGCATAGAAATTGAGACGGAGGTCGCGATAAGGTGTACACCGAGGGAGGATGCCGGTCTCTTTCTATAAAGCTCCGTTTGATTAGAAAGAAATAAATGATAGAAAGTGAAAATGATATAGAGTGAAGTAAAAGAAAAGAAAAGGAAAGTAAAATATGTACTATTGTATAAATTTGATTAGGATGAAAATTTTACAAGCAAATAGGAATTCTAATAATAACAAACTACTTTTATAACATATTTTAACTTTCTTATATTTTTCTGTGTTTTTTTGCAAGAAATTATAAGCTTAATTACTATGCTATTATGAGTTATACAAGAAAATTAACTTTCTTAGAACTTCCACCATTTTTATGCTAAACAAACTCAAAAAAATATTATTTTTTTCTATTTCTTTCACTTCCTACCATTTTCATCCTAACCAAACTGAGCCTAAAGGTTTTGGTTCGTGGTAGTGGAAACACTTTAAGGAGGTGTGGCGGATCTTATCGGCTTGAGCATGAGGACAAAGGAAGCCACAAAGGACACGTTGAGCACTATTGTGTGAGGTACAAATAATCTAGGCACTCGATTCAATGGGGTGTAACATTTTCTAGGTGAAGGTGAAGTGTATCATGCAAACTCGGACAACTAGGTTGGAGGATGCACATAACATTTAACCCACATCACTAAAGGGGGTGATTGTTAGGATTAGTCCACCCATGTGATAAAGGTGGGCCACATATAGTTATTAGGTTGGTTTAGACATGTATTTGGGTTAGGATAGTAGTCTGGAATCTAATGGGAAGCCTAATATGTGTAGGATTTGGTCACTTAATAATTGTATAGAACTAGGATTCTCATGGCTAGACTATTACAACTAGTCATGTGGACTATAGGGTTTCTCTGAGAGAGATTGAGACAGTGGTGAGGGAAAAAATAAAGATGTAAGGGGTGAGAGAAAAAATACCGGGAGGGCACTGAGTGAGCAAGGTCTCAACTACCCTTGAACGTGGGGTTCGGGAAGTAGTGTGGGTTTTGAGTGTTTTGGCCGTCTCACATGTATTCTCTATTTTTTATCATAATGGAATCTCTATCTCCCGTGGATGTAGGCAATTTGGGCCGAACCAATTTGGGCCGAACCACAAATCTATGTGATTATTTTTCTCTTTGGTGTGTGCGTGGGTGTGCTTCCGTTGGCGTTGGTGGGATGCGGTATAAATCCCAGCAAGGTGTTTAGGTGAGTGTCCAAGTGATGAAGATAATCTAGAAACAATGCAAAGCATGCTCTGATCTGATCACATGTATAACTGCATGAGCATCCTGCGTTAGTCTGGGACAAAAGTGCCTTTTATAATCCCACATAGATGGTGTTCACTACAATTTAAACAAACTCACACACCACAGATTAATTCTAAAATGTTAAAATTTGGAGACATCCAACTCAAAATTAATTAGCAATGGTGAAGAGGTCTGTAGATTATATGAACCAAGCTTGGATGACTAGAGAATCAATGTGATGTGGGACAAGTCTCTAACACTCCCTTAAATATGCATCCCGGGTCGCAGGTGGAGGTGATGGTGAGATGAACGAACAAACCCAGGGTGGAAACTGTTGGCATATTATAATCACCGAAAGTCACTTAACATATTATATTAGCCGAAAGAGTCTGTAATCATTGTTTTATGCACTCAGGGATTGTAATTGTCTACCTTGTAAACCCTAATCTTTATTTATAAATAAGGGATGATAGCTCATCATACCCTAAGCTGTTACTCAAGCTTCAGAAACTGAGCCCGTGAGACCACCAAATACTCAACTCTCATAGGATGCTAGAATTTGGAGACATCCAACACAAAACAAATTGGCAATGGTTGGATAGACTTTTAGACTATATAAACAAAGCTTTGGTGACTAAATGAACTAATGTGGGACAAGTCTCTAACATAAGAAGTTATGAAGATTCCATGACTATGCGACCAAACCATCAATTTGGGAGAAAGAACCAAAGACCACCAAAACTCCACAACACATTTCCTTAATTGAAGGGTTGCATTGCCAATTAATGATATATATAGCACACATGCTGAAGTAAGAATGGTGATAAATTTTTAAAATACCTGAATAACGTAATTCCCATATTGGTCTTGTGCCAGAGTACACACAGAATGCATAATTTCATCCATGATAGTTTGTTGTGTCTTCGGATCATCACAGTGCTCCAGAACCCTCTGCTAACATCAAAAGGCGTTACATAATAGATGATATACAAAACAAAGAAATGGTAAGTACAAAACTGTAAATTTTAACCTGAATGACACGGCAACCATAAGGATGTGTGGAAAGTGCTACAACTTGCCCAAAGAAGGCCGAGATAATAAATTGAATTCGATCTTGAGGGACACATTCTATGCACTTCTGGATAACATGATTACCATTCTGATCACGAACACATTTGATGATGAAACCATCAAGCTCTGTTACAATCTGGGTTTGTTGTTCCACATCAACTACTTCTAAGGCCTGTAGCCATAATTACAGCACTAACATGATTTATAATAGGAAAGGAAAGAATAAATACTTTCTTTTAAGGAAGAATTTCATCATTACATATGACACATTGCATGATTTTCTAGGATATGACAATGATATGGCGCATGCAACATTTTCGAAGGATACGATAAGTTTGTCAACGTTCCCTTAAGTGTGCCAAATGTTGTGAATGAAATTACATGTCCCCTGGCCATGCCCCATCTGCTCTACAAATGCCTTCATGAATTAGAATCAATGTCATAAATTCAAGATTAGAATTAAGGATCTGACTTTTGATGCATGTTTTAGTAATTATATTGATAAGGTTTTACAGGCATGAAGGTGTCTTGTTGATCATGTGTTGATTGTCGAGGTAGAAAATAGAGCATCAGTTTACATTACAAGCCCCAGGTTTCTGTCATGAAATGCGTGGTTATGTACCAAACCAAATTATGAATGTTTTCAGTAATACCATCAAAAGAGGTAGAAACAAAATGTATAATGGCCCTGTTTGGTAGAGCTATGGAAAAGTGCTTATAGCTTATGCTTAAACAGCTTATAACTTATAACTATGAACATAAGCTGATTTCTAACTTATAAATTAAGTATCTCCTGCCCCACTCAAAGAATAAGCTGATTTCTGACTTCCAAAAAGCTATAAGCTATAAGCTATAAGCTATAAGTTAAACCAAACACATCAAAATAACTTAAACTAAGCTGAAAGCTGAAATAAGCAGCTTTTAAGCTGCACCAAACAGGGCCAATGTATGGATGGATCAACCACTGACTGTACCGGTAGAACATAAAGAAACAACCTTACTCTACCCAGTAGAACAAAAAGAAACAACCTTACTCTACCTATAAGCATGAGATAATGTTGACCAAGTTCCTTCTCCATTTTATAAGGTAATAGTGCTGGCCTTGCACATTTTCTCCAATCATCAAATACAATGTTAATCATGAGCAACTCAATAGCAAAAGGACTAAACACGCCTTATCCAGCTAGAAACTAGAGTTGGAGATGTATTAACAATTATTTACAAAGGCATTAAGGAACATAGTAATTCATGACTTATAAATGACCCATGCATACTTCGCATTATGATTAGCCTAATTGGAATGTGAGATGCTGTGAAAAGATTTCATTTCGAGAGTATTAGATTTAATTCCCAGAAGGTGATACGAACTGGCCTGTCTGTTCAATGAATAACAAATTGATAAGTCTGTGCTGAGTAGAGAAAGCAATTTGGTGTATGGAAGTTCAATCCAATAAGAAACTACCACCCTAGATAGTCCAATCCCTTAAAAGAAAACCCAAATGCTTTTTATTAGATGCCAAATCATTGCATAGTTTTGATAAGACAAATACATATGAAATGTTTAATAAGACTAGAAAAATTCTTAAAATTGGCCCCCATACTCCTCCACTGCAGCATATGGCGGACCTCATTAGATCCAATATATCAAGTGCCTTGCAAGAAGGAACAGTGGGATCAAAACAACACCCATGATACTTTTTTGGGCGAATTACATCAACAGTCCCTATAGTTTGGGGCTTGTGTCAATTTGGTCCCTGATTTGTTCATTGTGATACATTTGACCATGAATTTTGAATCTTGTTCCAAATAAGGACAATGAAAAAATATTTCCTTTGCAAATGGTCCATTTCAAGGGTAAAGTCGCCATACAACCTATTTTGTGTTGGTTAACTATGTTGTTTGAAATGTAATGGTCTTTTTTTTAATGAATAATGTTGGAACTTTCTTGGCTATAAAGTTATGTTTGATTTGGTTTTTAGAATCTATTTTCAGAAGAAAAAAAATTCTAAAAAACTAAAAATTAAATTGGTAAAAAAAATAAATTAAAAACACTTCATTTTTTACTTTTGGGAGGGTAGAAAAAATGTTAAAATTTACCATCACCTACCACCAATTTACCATCACCTACCACCACCTAATCCTCACCTACTCCTCACCTACTACACTTCACCTACTCCCCTTCACCTACTACCTTCTTCTCTTCTATATATATGAATCAATGTAAACATAACAAAAGATCAATACACAAGATCAATCAATATCAATCAATAATACATAAATTTTTACAAGGTATCAGAGCAGGTTTAGAACCTAATATTTTTCGCTTTTTTGAATCTTGTTCCAAATAAGGACAATGAAAAAATATTTCCTTTGCAAATGGTCCATTTCAAGGGTAAAGTCGCCATACAACCTATTTTGTGTTGGTTAACTATGTTGTTTGAAATGTAATGGTCTTTTTTGTTGTCTACCATGTTGGAACTTTCTTGGCTATAAAGTTATGTTTGATTTGGTTTTTAGAATCTATTTTCAGAAGAAAAAAAATTCTAAAAAACTAAAAATTAAATTGGTAAAAAAAATAAATTAAAAACACTTCATTTTTTACTTTTGGGAGGGTAGAAATAATTTTTTAAAATATTTTTTTATATTTATTGTCGTTGAATTAGTTTCTATTTTTAAAAAATTTGTGTTGGTTAACTATGTTGTTTGAAATGTAATGGTCTTTTTTTTAATGAATAATGTTGGAACTTTCTTGGCTATAAAGTTATGTTTGATTTGGTTTTTAGAATCTATTTTCAGAAGAAAAAAAATTCTAAAAAACTAAAAATTAAATTGGTAAAAAAAATAAATTAAAAACACTTCATTTTTTACTTTTGGGAGGGTAGAAATAATTTTTTAAAATATTTTTTTATATTTATTGTCGTTGAATTAGTTTCTATTTTTAAAAAATTTGTGTTGGTTAACTATGTTGTTTGAAATGTAATGGTTTTTTTTTTAATGAATAATGTTGGAACTTTCTTGGTTATAAAGTTATGTTTGATTTGGTTTTTAGAATCTATTTTTAGAAGAAAAAAAATTCTAAAAAACTAAAAATTAAATTGGTGAGGGTAGAAATAATTTTTTGAAATATTTTTTTAATATTTATTTTTGTTAAATTAGTTTCTATTTTTTTAAAAGTCAAACATGACGACAATTTTGATGTCATTATTAAACCAATCTATTAAATCAGAACATCCAAAATTAAAAACATTTCATATATTAAACATATTGATTACACATTAAAAGCTTAATAATCATTCATTACATGATAACCATCCAAAAATATCTGTTAACAACAAATACAACCATCTATTACATAATAACCATAAAAAAATATCAACAAAAAAAACCACAATTACATGATCATCATTCAAACACATAATAAAAATTAATTTGGTAAAAAAATAAAAATGTAAAAGATATGTCATTTTTATATAATTTATTTTTGGTGGGTAGAAATAATTTTTAAAAATTCAAAAATAAAATTTTGACATTTATTTTTGTCAAACTAGTTTATATTTTATTAAATTGACGGCTTTGCCCTTGAAATGGAGCAACAATGTCTTCAATTGTCTTTATTTGGAATAAGATTCAAAATTCAGGGTCAACTGTATCACAATTAAAAGGTCAGGGACCAAAGTGATATAAGTCCCAAACGATAGGGACCGTTAGTGTAATTCGCCCTACTTTTTTTTCTTAGGCAAAAGGGATAACATAGAAATATTGCTCAACTAATTTTTTTTAACTCAGCCACCACTTGCTTGCCGCAACATTCTCATAATCAAATAACTAAAAATAACTGGAGCGAGGATGAAGTAAGCTAAGGAATGCCAACCACATTAGTAATATATTAAAGAGACACTCAATTCTTTGTTTCAAGAATTTCCAGTACTCCTGAATGCTGAAACAAAGCCTCAAGAAAAGAGCCCTAATGATACAAGAGAACTCCATGTAAAAATTTGATCATTTTTGTTAAGTCACCAATTTTTCCAAAAACCTAAGCTGTTAGGAAATGGGCCGAACAATGTATATCAAACTAACACCCTCCCTCACATGCAACCCCGTCTTACACGTGGAGAGAAACAGAGAAACAAACAAAAGGAGTAGCAAACAACCAAATAGAGAGGAAGAAACAAAACGGGGACAGAATACCAAATGTCAATAAAGACACTTGAACCCAAGAGTTCAACCAGAGCTCTGATAACATATTAAGTGACCAATTTTCCCAAAAACCTAAGCTGGTAGGAAATGGGCCCAATAATGTATATCAAATATCTAACACTTCAATGTGTTATATAATGAAAAAATAAAATAAAATATAGACAAAAACAATCAATAACAAATGTTGTGAGATAGAGGATGGATATTCAAAAGCATTGAGGCCTTCAACTAGAAAGATCATTAAGTTATGAAGATGATTTGGTTGCCATGTAGTTCTAGACAAGTCGAACAAAGCTTCAGCTTCAAGCATACATGCAATTCAAAAATAAAAGCTAAACTCAAGCCACTATGTCCACTGCAGTTACTATGCAACACATAACGCATACATTAGATATTTTCTGCATAATTGCATATGATGTGCACAATTGTTTCTGTTCCACAATAGATCATGTAAACAAAATTTCTTGCAAAATCTGAATAACTATGTGAGCATAAGCAAACCTAACCATTAATGCACCCTGTGGGTTTTCCCAATACTATATGTCAAAAACCACGACATCATAAAGATTCTACGAAACAAAGGGAAAAGATAATAAAAAGACACTTACAAAAAAAATGATGATAAAACGACTGAAGGGATGAGGAATTCTTAAGTTAACCAAGCCGAAAGACCAAACCTCAGAGACCCACAAAGCACCATAAGCCCTCCTAAGGAGGATATGAACTGTAAATTACTCAAAGCGTAGTAGCTTCATGCCTAACCAAAAGTCAACCCTCTCACCTGCTGATCTATGCATGCACTTGATCTAAGCCTATGTTAGATGGACTTGGGAGATGTGTTGAATGTGCCCAAGTGTTGGATTCATCTATTCCAACACGGTTAATAAAAACTTAGTTAATTTTTTAGGGTAAAATGGTGTTTACAAATAAACATTACAGCAATTTATACATAAAATGGGAGGCTTATGAAAAATT